GCTGTAGAGCTGAATGGCCTCCGTTCTCTCCAGGCCGTCGCGCAGGCGAAATGGATTGCCCCACTTCGACGGCGCCAGCCGAGGAGAGCCAGACCCACGGCCTATGTCGACTTCCTGCTTCTCGTCGTTGTAAACGAGGCCGATCTGACCGCGCACTGACGAGGCCGCTGCCACTGACAAACGCCCTCTCTTGGAGGAAGGGATAGGTGCATCCTTTCGCAGCTCCTCGGCCGCCGCCAACTGACGAAGCTCAGGGTGGCGCGCTCGAAGGAGTCGACGATGTATTTGCTGGATCACGCCCGACGCCGAGATCCATCCCATCGGCGCCACCGCGGCCGCATGGTAGATCATGTCCTTGCCAGGGGGGGCCAACCACACACCTCCTCACCGGCTTGGACATGGCCATGTACTTCAGCCAGGCGTCGCATAGCCTGTGCACGTAGAAGCAGCACTTGAGGTCCTCCGCACTCCAGAGTAGCACCTCCCCGGGCCTGAGGATCACGCTCTTCCGCTTGTCGCTGTGCGGCGGCATCGGCATATCTCCCTCGCTCGTGCCCTGAATGAAATTAAACGAAATGATGTTCATCACCAAGCGCTGGGGGGCCTCGCCTTTTGCGTTGGACCCCTTCTGGACTCCGAACATGCCTCCCATGATCTTGCGGCCCCGCACCTCTGCAATATCCTCGTAGTCTATAGTTTTGAGAACGCCCCTCTCATACAGGTCGCTCGCAATCAAGTCCCACTCCTCGTTGGAAGCCCACGCCTTCGGAGTGGGTGGCAGGGTTCCGAGCTCGCACTCCTCCTTCATGATCAGACCTGGGTCCGCCAAGGCTGCGCGAATCCAGCCCTCGGTCACGCCCGCGGCCCTCGCGGCTGCACGAGCACCCCGCGGAGGAAGAGCATCCAATAGTCGGGGGCGAACAAGGGGTTCAGCAGGAAACGCCTCCTCCCCGTCATAGGAGGTTTGCGCTGATGTCAACGCTGCGTCCCAGTTGATGCCAGGTATCGCGCCGGCGCGCTGCTCACGAACAACTCTGACCTCATGCAAGAGATTGGAGAGCGCCTTGCGCAGGGTAGCGGTTGGCGGGCCGCGCGGCATGTCCATCCAACTGCGGGTGTAGTGGAAGTTGAGACCAACGACCACGCAACGCAACCACTCCAACTTCTCCGGCTTTGCTTCTGCCAGCTCTTGGCCCTCCTTAGAACGGTCTCCGCGACGTAGAGGAGCGGCCAGCGCCAGGGGCTCGATCGGGAGCGGGAGTAAATCACGACGCTCTCGCCGACCGTTCGGTGATGCAAGCGGATCATCGATGCCGGAACCACAATCAGAACCCACTCGTGATAGAGAGGGCGCGCGTAAAGAAGCCGGGTATAAGATGTCGCTGTCATCGGGTCCATCGTTAACTGTACCGGATAACTGAAAGCACTCACCACCACTATCAAAAGCACGTGCAGGGGCCAGGAGTGAACTCTGAAAGCATGCGGACTTACGTTCAGAGTCAGGGTGTAGCGTGGCAAGAAGACGAGTCAGTACTTTGCCGCCGAAGTCCTCAACAGTCGAACCAGCCAGCACTTCAGAACAAGTAAGCGAATTCATGGAGACCATCTTGGTGTCGCAATCGACGGCGAGCCCCGATTCATGCACCGAATCGCAACTGGAAGATCTCACAGAAAAAATCTCCGCAGCCTGATCATCAGATGGATGGTCATTCTTCTCTAAAGCAGACGGCACCTTAATGCAGTCAGCAGCAGCTACGGGCGTGGCTTGCCTTTGCCTTTGCCCTGTGGCGCGCCCTTTGGACGGCCTGCCTCCTCCTTGTCTGACTTGGTGCGGCCCTTGCCTTTCTGGTGCCTCTGCTTCCCTGCGCCCTTGAGCTTCGTCGAGCCTCCCTTTCGCTGTGGTGAAGGTGAGCTCGGATGACGCTGCGGCGCTGGGGACCCGCGACCTGCGCCCTGCTCTGCCTCGTCGACGGACTGCGCGCGTCTCGCAGGTGACGCTGCCCGTGCTCCCTCGCCGACTGGACGGCGAAGGATCAGCCGCCGATCGGGCCCAGGGCTGATGGCTCCGCGAACTGCCGCGGCGGGAGGCCCAGGCGAAGGAGCTGTCGGCGGCCGCGAGCCTACAGGGCTGCTCGCACGAGGCGGGGGCTCCGCTGCGGGCGGCGTGCTCGAGGCTGGAGGCGTCGCGGCCTGGCGCCGAGCTGCCACCGCGCGTCTCCGCTCTGCTCTCCAGCGTGCCTTCCGCGATGCCTTCTCGCGGTTGACCGTGGACGAATGCTTGACGGGGCCTGGCTTCGCCTGGTGCGTGCTCCGGGGTGGAGGTGGCCTCTGAGAGGGCGGCGCCCGCGGCTGTCCGCTGCCCTCTCGGCCTGACCCCCAGCCGGCGCCGCCTGCACCCTTCTTGGCCTTCGCCGCGCTCTCGGCCAGCCCGTGCGTCCGCTTGTGCTTGCTGACGGCGTCGTGGACCTCCTCCTGTCTCGCGAGCCCCACTCCCAGGTCGTCGCAGAGCTCGAGGTGCTGGGCCACCTGCCAGTGACCGCCCTTCGTCGCCTGCTCGATGGCTTTCAACCGCTGCATCAGCAAGTCGCCGAGATGGTCCAGTTCGCCTCTCAGCAAAGCGTGCAGGCACTCTCCGACCGCTCGCATCTCGCGAACGTTCCTCACGCCCATCTCGCTCTGAGGATGGTGACCGTGCCGGACGCTCGTGATGTACTGCGCCACCGTGGCTGCCAAATTGTCCAGGCCCTTCTCGGAGTCCGCCCCGCCACGTCGTGCAAGATAGCGCTTGGTCTGGTCCATCCTACTCGAGAAGAGCGCGCCTGGGGCGTCTCGAGCGAGATGTGCTATCCTGCGGCCTGGGTCGACGTGGGGGGTGCCGTCAAAAACTGACGCGTCTGAGTCACTATCCTCGGAGCCGCGGCGGCCGCGTCGTCGCCCACGACGCCCTCCGCGAAGCCCTCCAAAGGCGGCCTCTGCACGCTCAGCAAGGGCCTCGCCTACACCTCGCTTCCGTTGAAGCCGCTGGCGCAGCTCCGACACCTTCCGCTTGAGCTCCTCGGCAGTCGGCTCGGACCCGCTCGCTCCGCCACCAGTCAGAGCACCCGCAGGTCGGCCATCCCAGCCGAGCGCAGCAGCGGGGGCAGGTCCAGCGGCAGGCCCACTCACACCGTGGGCTCCGAGTAACGCCTGGGCCCAGGGCTCCGTCACTCCCGAAGCACTTCGCATGCGGTAAGTCTCCACGTGAAGCGCCGAGCGTTGAGGCCACTGCACCAAACCTGCGCACACGCCCGCCTGCTGCGTGCATAGATGGAGCACCGCACCTCCCAGATGATTGAAGCTCCCCGACAGCATGGGCCACAAAGCGGCGTTGCTCCATCCAAGGAACGACACCTCCACGAAGCAACCCATGCCATCTCCTGGCCAAGCGCTCAGCACTCTATAAAAAAAAAACCGTCCCAGCGGCGCTGCCCAAGCTGTCCAGCGTCACGCACTCCAGGATCCCTCTGGGCGCCAGTCCTAATCGCTGATACGCCATCGGCGCTGACGGCCCGTGCACCCAAGGCCCCGCACCTCCAGGCGGCGCCACCAAGTCAAAGCCTCCTCCTGCGGGCGCTCCGCCTCCGCCGCCTGCAGCTGGCACCCATCCCAACAAGCCGCCGCCTCCAGGAGCGGCTCCAGCGGCGGCAGGCGCGGGGCCGCCAGGTCCGCCAAGGGCACCTCCAGCCGCAGCAGGCCACGCTCCAGCGCCTCCGAAGCCTCCGACGCCCAGAGCGCCGCCGCCAAGCCCAGGCACGGCACCAGCAGGAAGCCCTGCTGCCACGCCACCGCCTCCCACAGCAGCTGCCGCTCCGCCTGCGAAGAGAGCAGGCACCAGGCCACCAGGGAGGGCCCCTCCACCGGCAGCGCCAGCCACGCCAGGGCCGCCTCCGCATCCTGGGCCCGCAGCTGCTCCTGCACCGCCAACTGCAGCGCCAGGGGGCCCGCCACCAAATGCAGCTCGCACGCTCGCACGCCTGCAGGGCCATCCGCCGCCGCTCCTACGCCACGAAGTCCGCCAGCATCTCCACCTGCTGCTCCAGCCGCGCCTGCGGCCGCACCGTCGTCAACGGCGGCCCCTGCACGCGCACCTCGGCGGGGGCGAGGCGCGAATGCTTCAAGGCCGCATTCCAACATGTGGAGCATGACGCACAACTCGTACAAATAACTTTTGATTTCCTCCTGACGGCATTGTGCTGTGAATCTTTGGAGAAGACAGCAGAAGCATCCAAACACTAAGACCAATTGCAATGTTTGTTGGACTGGTCCGAAGCGTTGACAGCATCAACAAACAACAGCACCAAACAAAACATGTGTGTATGCACTTCGAAGACTCAAATCCGTACCCACGAAACCACATCGAAAACACCAGAAACCAGTTCGGGGCCTGGAAACGAGAACCCTGGAACGGTCGGGGCCGATTTCTGGAAACGCGAACTCTGGGGACTGCAGTCCCGTACCCTGGAAACGCTGGCGTTCGACCTGGGGGCCGCGAGCGCAATGAGGTCGATGTCTGCGGGCGGAATACTGTTTTCGGGGTCCATGGAGTTCCCGGTGGAACTCCCGATGGGGCTACGAAGCGCGTGTACCGTTTGAGGAGGAGCAGGACGGGGTGGCAAGAGGAGCTCGTGGATGGCTTCAGTCGTCCTTCTCTTCGCTGTGACCCTGCGAGGAGCAGGAGGTGCAGTAACAGCAGCATCGGGAGCATGAACAAGAGAAGGGGGAAGACGGATGAGCAAGATGAAGAGGGTGAAAAAGGTCTGCAGCATCGGGAGCATGAACAGTAGAAGGAATCATAAGGATGAGCAGGACCAAGAGGGTGAAACAATTAGGCAACTACATGAATTAACAACGTGGCAAAGCGCGACAACAAGAACATGCAAACAAAACAAACATAATAATCTCCGGAATGAAACGGGACCTCCAAGGAGGCCGACAGCGGTGCAAAACCTCGGGGCCCCTTTTCGTTTAGGACTCCTTCGCTCCATGGAGAGGCTTGACCGCATTTCGTTCAGGAGGCTGCCCACGTGTGGGTGCTGCCCGCGCTGCCAGCCAGGCCCCGCAAGGCTCCGAGCTGCGGCGCCTGTGGGAGCCGCTCGGGTCAGAGCGAATCCTCCTCCTCCTCCTCCTCCTCCTCCTGAAACTCCTCGTCGTCGGCCCCTCCTCACTCCGCCGCTTCCCCCCCCTCCCGAGGCAAGGCCTCCGCGCGTGCCTGCCCACCGGGCGGGCCATCGGCCACGATCTGGGAATCGGGTTGAACGAATCCGAATGCAAAACCCGTCAACATCGAACCGGAACATCGGATCGGATCGGCCGCGCCAGGACGCTCAGCGCCGTGCGAACATCGGGCCGCATCGGATCAGCAGAATGTCGGCATCGGACTGACCACAATCGAAGTGAATTCGATCGGGTCGAAATGGGCCACAGGAAGGTGAGTGGTTGAAGAAGATGGAGCAAACAAACACAATGGTGACACGGACAACAATACCCCTCGTATTTTCTCAATACGTAAACTGGGGGAAACGCGTAAGGTCAGTCCGTGACCTGGCACGCGAGAGCATTCACACCGAGGCGATGCACAACATTTGAAGCGAACAAGGCCTCGGAAGAGGCAACCAAGGGGCAAAACGAATGCGTCACCATTGAAAATCGAACGTGGGACCCAGACGATGTGCTTCTAGCAATATTATGCCGTGCAACCAATGTGAAACAAAATGTGATACACTCCATGTGGTGCCATATATGCGGGGCCACTCGCGCGCGTGGCCGACGCGCGCGAGTGGCCCGCATGGTATAGTTGACAGGGATCGTGCCCCCCAGCACGCGTGCAAGGGTGTTCGTATGATTTCGCCACGCGCGAACGAGAGGCCCGTTTGGTCGCAGCTGATGAACATGAAGGAGCACCAATACTTTTTTAACTAATTCGGAAAAACGCGTAGACTTCTTTGCAAAAACGGCATGCGCGAGCAAATCTGTGCGCGTGTGGACTTCATTCCGTTTCTCTTTTTCTGTTGCAAGGGACTCTTGGAAACAAGTAATTTGTGATAAACGAATGCGCGCGCATCATTCCCAGCAGACAAATTGGGGCCGTTAACTTTTCAAAACAGACCTCCCGACCCGCCCACCCTGCATACCGCGGCCGCCGAATCCCCAAATCCCCCGAATACATCCCCGGAGTATCCCCGAAAATTCCGCCTCGCGCCAATCTGCATACCGCGGCCGCCAGATCCCAAGGTCACCCGAATGTCCCCGAGTGCCTCGCCTCGCGCCGCCAAGTACTAGTATGACAGTGCGGTATTATTGAATGGCAGAACATCGTACACCACAACGCTAAACTCTATGACAGAACAGAGCAGAACACCACGCCACCTAACAGGCCATTTCCGAGCATATCATAACATACCATGAAATTGCAGATCGTAACATTACATACCATGAACAGGCCAGTGCATACCATAGCACATCACCGTAGCACATACCATTCCATACAATGACAGCGCAAGCATACCATAAGAAATCATCGCACAACTGAACGTACCAAGACATAACATGTCGCATCCTCACATAACAAGGCATACAATGTCATACCATAACACAACACATCAACGCATGCTGTGACATATCGAAACATCCATGATGATGATGGAAAACAAAACCCAATCATAATATGTTTAGGGCTATAGGGCTATGGGGCTATAGGGCCATATGGCTATATGTCTATGTCTATAGGGCTGTAGGGCTGTAGGGCTATAGGGCCATAGGGCCATAGGGCTGTAGGGCTATAGGGCTATAGGGCCATAGGGCCATAGGGCTGTAGGGCTATAGGGCTATAAGGCTATGGGGCTATAGGGCCATAAGGCTATAGGGCTATGGGGCTATATTACCATAGGGCTATAAGGCTTTAGGGCTAAAGGTATATACACACAAACATATATACATATATATATATATATATATGTAGAGCTAGGGCTATAAGGTCTATAGGGCTATAGGGCTGTAGGGTTATATGGCTATGGGGTTATAAGGCTATAGGGATATAGGGCTATAAGGCTATCGGGCTATAAGGCTATTGGGCTATAGGGCTATTGGGCAATGGGGCTGTAAGGCTATAGGGCTATCGGGGTATAGGGCTATACGGCTATAGGGCTTAAGGCTATAAGGCACCCGGGCACCCGGACGGGCCGCGAAATCGGCTGCACACCTCACCTAACCATATGAATCCGCTAGGACCCCTACAGAGGCAAACTCTGATCGGGGAAACACCGTAACAAAACATGCCATACCATAGCATTCCAGAACGGAGAAGAGCATGTTACACCATTACATGACCTAACAAGCTGCAACGAACTACAACATCACAACACATATACATGACATATCGCATCGTAACACAGATGACACGCCATAACACGACATGACGCGGCATATTATGTTACACACTATCAGACCATACCATAGGATACTGCCACAAAGCCATAACATAATGGATCATACATAACATGGCGTAGCACTAAACCTCATGCCATACCATAGCAACGCATACCATATCACATGTCATGCCGTAACATGACGTGGCAAGACGGTTCGCACCATAACACAACATCAGCGCACATAACCTTCCATAGCGCGGCAAGTCATACAATGGCAGGGCGCGGCATAACACATTGTGGCATCGCATCACATAACTCACCATACCACTCTAACATAACAGCGCATACATTATCACTAGCACCATCGCGCGCGCTTCGCGCGCTTAGGTTCTAGCTGGTCGAGTGCTGACCGCATTGAGACAACAAGGCGGTCGTGAATAATGAAATCAACGCTCTTTGTTTCCTCCCGCCTCTTTCTCATGCCTCCTCCTCCGCTCTCATCGACCTGTCGACTGGTGATCCGTCGCCAAGCTTCTTGGGGACCTCTTGACCCCTCCTGGGGGTCTCCTGGGGCGAAGACCTCGGGTTCTCGATTCACGTTCTCGATCGTGGCCTTCGGCCCATCCCGCCACCGTGCCTGGGTTGTGGGTTAGAGGCCCCTTGGAAGTTCGTTTGGGATTCGTGGGAGGCTTCTCGCGGGCCACTTGAAGGCAATTCTGGAGGCCTCTTGGGGGCCGTTTGGGGTGCTCGAGGGGCGTCTTTTTGGGCCCCTTTGGGGCCTCGTGGGCCCTAGGGCCTCTAGGGCTCTGTAGGGGGCCTCTTGGGCCTCCTGGAAGCCTCTTGGGGCGGAAGGCTCGAATGGTCGGTTCGTGTTCCCCCTCTTGGGTTGGGGCCCTCCTGGGCGATCTTGGGCTCTTGGGGCTCTCTTGCGCCGTCGTGGCGCCCTCTTTGGGTGCATCTTGGGCAATGTTGAGCTGATTTCTGGAGCCTCGTGGGCTGTCTTGGACCGTCGGAAACACGAAACAGCGAGAACACAAAGAACCTTCCAACCCAATAGAAACACCTACTTGTTTCGCCTCCTGAGTGCCTCGTGGGAGTCCTTTTGAGAGCGTATTGGCCGTCTTGAAACCCTCTTTGGCTGTCTTCAAGCCATGTTGGACCAATTTTGAAACGCTTTTGTGCGGTCTTGGGCTCTCTTGGAGCGCTCTTGGGCCATCTTGGCGCTCTCTTGAACGTCTCTCGGTCACCTTGACGTTTTTTGTCGCCCCCCGCCGGGCCCGAAACAGCCGGAAGATAAATCAGTGCACTTCGAAGGGCCCGGGACCTCCTACCCAATGTTATTTTTTTATGTATATATATATATATATATATGTATATATATATATATATAGAACCATCGCGCGTGCTTCGCGCACGCTCAAATTCAACCTCAGACCCGGGCAATGTCTGAATGCCGGATTGTGCTGCTGGACAGCAGGGTGGCATGATGCTCATGTGAGTGGCAGTCTGCTTCAGACAACCAGGGAACCGAAGGCCCCGAGCAACATCAGCCGCGGCATCACCAACACCATAAACAATGGGGGAAGACGTCCGAGACGACGGAGAATGAGGCCGAGGTGGGACCCGCCGAGTCAACCGGACGAGGAGGGATGACGAAGAAGATTCCCAACGGCCCTCCCCTCATCCCTTTCGGGGCGAGGGCCTTCCCCTACCCTACCCCTACACCCTCCCCCTGGACGAGGGCGTTCGAAAGCCGTTCGAGCGTCAAGGATGGCCCCAGAAGGTTCCAAGAAGGCCCGAGCCCAAAGATGGGCCTCACAGATCGTTCAAAGTGTGCCAAACTGGTTCAAGATTGCTCCAACATGCCCGCCAAAAAGCCTTCAATAACGCCCCCAGACGGCCCGCAGTGCCATCCCAGCACCCCAGGGAAACTTCCAAGAAATCAAACTCCTTCCGAAGCGTTCGAAGCATTATAATGTTTGCCTCCTCCCAGTGTCGATTCTGATCGTTTCTGAAGGCCAGAAGGCGGCTCCAAGATGGGCCCAAGTCGGCCCCCAAAGGGATCCAGCAGGAGCGAAATACCGCTCCGAGAGCAGAAAAGACCGCCTCAAGAGTTGCACAAAAGCGGCCCAAGAAGTGACTTTTCAGACCCCGATTGGGGCATCACCCCCTGCCTGGTCGATGGCCTTCAAGATGGTTCCAAAAGGGCCCTCAGGCCTTCGAGAGGGATCCCTGAAGGGGCCCACAGAGCGCCCCAAGAGGGCTCGACGAGGAGCCCAAGAAGGTTGCAGAGTGACACAATCATTATGTTTCAAGAATTGCTGTGTAGAGGAAGGCTGCTGAATGACGAAGTCCCTCTCATACACGAATTCCCGCATGAAGGGGGCTGCATAACGACATATCCTTCTCGTACACGGATTGCCGCGTGGAGGAGGGGTGCAGAGAGACAAAATCCTACTCGTACGCAAATTGTCGCGTGAAGGAGGACTGCGCCTCTCGAGAAGAAGGCTGCAGAATGGCAAATACCTCTCGTACACGGATTGCCGCGTGGAGGAGGGATGCAGAAAAACGTAATCCTTCTCGTACGCCTTTGTGTCGCGTGGAGGAGGACTGCGCAATGAAACAAAGCCTCTCGCACGCTGAATGCAGCGTGAAGGAGGGCTGCAGAAACATGATATCCCTCTCGTGCACTGATTGCCGCGTGGAGGAGGGACGCAAAGAAACATCATCCCCCTCGTACACCTTTTTGTCGCGCAGAGGAGAACTGCGCAATGACAAGAACCCGGTCTCTCTCTGAATGCCGCGCGAAGGAGCGCTGCAGAGTGACGACATCACTCTCGTACACGGATTGCCGCGTGGAGGAAAGATGCAAAGAGACACAATCCCCCTCGTACACTTTTTTTTCGCGTGGAAGGGGACTGCGCAATGAAACAAAGCCTCTCGTACGCTGAATGCCGCTTGAATGAGGGTTGCAAAAAGACAATATCCCCCTCGTACACGGATTGCCGCGTGGAGGTGGGATGCAAGGATGGGGAGAAGGAGGAAGGGGAGGAGGATTCCTCCTCCTCCTCCTCCTCCTCCTCCTCCTCCTCCTCCTCCTCCTCCTCCTCCTATGCCAACCAGACTGCAACAGGTCGAACGGCTGACCAAAAACATCCTGCAAGGGAGGACTCCAGTGGCAACACCTGCTTGAGGCACCGCCGAGGACGGACCCTGTGTAGAGTGTAGAAAATCGGACCAGCTCTCTGGTCGACCCTGTTGGGCGCGCCCTGGGGCTCTCTTGGGCCGTTTTGGGGGGGCCATTGGATGTTTCGGGGCCTCTTTTGGTGCTTTCTCGGATCTCTTGGGGGCCTCTTGGGGCTTCTTGGGCGCTTCTTGGAGCCTTTTGGGGTCTTCTTGGCCCAAAACGTTCGAATCTTCGGTTCCTCGTCCCCGTCGTGGGCGCCGACTTGGAGCATCCTTGGGCGGTTTGGGCGCCTCAGAGGCCGTCTTGGCCCCCTCGTGGGCCGTCTTGGGTGCCTCTCGGGCGGTCTTGGACGCAGTGGAAGCCCAAAAGGCGAACACGCCAAAAATATCAGTTTCCCTATGGGAAATCGACAATTTTTGCTTATTGGGGCTCTATTGCGGTGCCCCTTGGGCGTGTTTGGGGCCTCTTTTTGCGTTTTTGCGGGTCTCTTGGGGACCTCATGGGGCTTCTTCGGCGCTTCTTGAAGCCTCTTGGGGTCTCCTGGGGGTCTCTTGGGCCAAAAGGCTTGCATTTTCGGTTCCTCGTCCCCGTCTTGGGCACCCACTTGGGGCGTTCTTGGGCGGTTGAGGCGTCTTGGCCCCCTCGTGGGCCGTCTTGGGGCCCTCTCTTGGGGGCATCCTCGACCGGCTTGGGTGCCTCTTGGGCGGTCTTGGACGCAGTGGACGCCCAAAAGGCAAACACGCCAAAACTATAAGATTTCCCATCGGAAATCAACGATTGTTGCGTATTGGGCCTCTCTCGGGGTACCTCTTGGGGCGTCTTCGGGGACCTTCTTGGCGTCATGGGAGTCGTCTTGAAATGCGTCTCGAGCCATCGCTGCGGCCTCCTGGGGCCTCCCTGCAGCCTCTTGAGGCCCTGTTGGCCCCGGGTCGCTGAAACCCTGTAAAACAACAGGGGAAATGACGCCCGGGCCCCACACTTGTGGTCGGGGCGCCCGCCCCCGGCCCCCGGACCCGGTCCCCCGTTATATGTATATATCATGTCAGACCAGGACGTACCAGGACACACATCAACGCATGCGATGACATCAGAGAGCATACACACCATACTATAACACAACACATTAAACAACAAATGACAAACCACACCATAACATAGCGCAACGACGCAGAACATAGCATTCCACACGATGACATACTGTATCATAACATAACACATCATCGCAACAGTTCATACCATGACATATACATGCATCACAACACAATGCATTGTACTACAATGTAATCAAGCGCGACGCGCGCGCAGAGGTCACGACGGCCACATGAACAAACAGGCAAAACAACGAACGATCGGACGACGTATCTATCGTGACAAGCGTCACGGCGTCACGCCGGCCCGTCGAGAACAAGACATATATAATAGAGCACACCCTGATATCGCATACAACATACTATAACGAATAGAGCACACCGTAACCAACATACCATAATATAATTGTTTCACTACTGCCACCCCTACGTCAACGTGTCCAATATAATATGGTTTGCCCCAACCAACATCGGGTATATTAACATAACGTAACCTAGCCTGACGGGGCATACGTATCATGTCATACCGGGGTGCCACAACGCAGAGCATATCATATCGTAGCGTCTCATACAGCGACATATATGAGCAGAACATTTCAGACTTTAGCAAATCAGAGACTTACGCTTGAAAAACACATCATAACATAATAAACCGAACCATAACACAATCAAGCGCGACGTGCGCGCCGAGGTCAGCCCGGCCACAAGTACAAACAAGCGCAACAATGGCGTGTCTAACGTGACAGGCGTCACGGCGTCACGCCGTCCCGCCGACAACATAACAACTCCACGTGAACAGCGTCACGACGTGACGCCAGCCCGTCCACATCAAAACATAAGATAACATACTTGCCATATATTACACTGGGGCAAAATCGAACCGAAGACAACATAGCATCATATCAGGTATACGCCAGCCACCATTTTACGGCGTCTTATCAAACGCAACATGCGCCCCGTCGTCAGAGGATGACGGGCGTCCGTAGCAGGAGGAGAAGGACAGGTCCGCCTCACCTCCTCCTCCTCCTCCTCCTTTTTCGTCGTCCGCCTCCTCCTCGTACTGCTGCTGCTGCTGCTCCTCTTCCTCTTTCAAGCGGCTGCATATGCTCTCCGATCAATTTTTGGGGTCTCGCAAACCGCGTTTTTGGGGCTGGTTTGTCGCTGCAGGGACTCGGGGCCCTGGGTTTGTTTGACTTTCGGGAAACATCCATTTGCGACCTGGCCCGGCCGCCGCGCCGTCCGCGACCGCGGGGCCCCGCGCACATCGTTCCAACATGCGCGCGCACCGTTGGGAACAAACGCCGAAAGTTTCGGTGGGGATCGCTCGCAGCAACATGTTCGTTCCAGGGGGTGGGGTGGTGGTGATGCCGGCTGGTTTGGGTTCGTCGGACCTCATCATTCGAACGATGGGACAATATCGCAAACACACTACACATCGCCAGGGTGGGCCGTGAAGTCCGCCGTCGTTTTGTTGGTTGTAAAAAGGGAGACACTATGTGCTGCAATTGACATGACGCTGGAGACGATGATGGTGTCGTCGCGTCGGTGATGAAGGTTTTGGAAGGATTTCGGTCTGCGCGCGCCCGCATGGTATCCTTTGACAGGGTTCGTGCCCCCCAGCACGCGCGCAAGGGCGTTCGAATAAGCGAAGGGCCAGTTTGGTCGCTTTGAACATGTTGAACAACCAATGGGTTTCTTCCGAGTTCGCGACAACGAGCGCACAACATTTGTTGCACAGCCTGTTTTTGTTCCTTAAAGGCATAGTAGTCAAAGGCGAAGCAAGGCAAAGCAATGCGAAGCAATACGAAGCAACGCAAAACAATGCAAAATAATGCAAAGCAAAGCAAATCAACGCAATGCAAGACAATTCAAAATAATGCAAAGCAATGCCAAGCAAAGCAATTCAACGCAATGCAAAACGGTGCAGGACAAATTACGGAGGGCGGCGACGGGGCGGTGACGGCGGGCACGTAGCCGCCAGACCGGCGCACAGGCCCAGACGACTGCCGGTGACGAGGCGGCGACGAAACGGCGACGGCGGGTCGGAGCCGCCAGACCGGCACACAGGCCCAGTTTCGCAGAAAAAATCAGAGGGCAATTGTGCGACCACACTGTCTTTAGGGGAAAAAAGAACACATCCAGGACGCTCCATTTGGGCTGGAGCAAATGGGGTGAGAGGGTTGCGCCGCTTCGCTGATGCACCAGCGATACGGCGCGATCTGGAGCCCGATTTGCTCAATTTCGAGGTCGCCGACGCATCGCCGATACATTGGTGACGCAGAACGAGTCATTCAGCTCACCCGTACCCAGACTTGCGCACAATCAGACCCACTCATACCCAGACACATCCACACTCAGACCCACTCGTATTCAGGCCCACCCATACTCGGACACACTCATGCGAAGACTCACTCAAACCCAGCCTCACTCGCACCTGGACTTGTGCTGCTCCCATCGTACTTAAGGACCACATCCCAGCAAGAATTTCGAGCACCCAGAACAGTATCGAACAAGTGTCGAACGAGTTTCGCCTCCCAAGGCCCGACACGTGAAAACCCTCCAGCTTCGGTACCATCTTGGTGTTCGATTTATTTCTGTGGTCAAGGCTAAAGCAGGTTGGAACATCATAAGCCTGTGCCCGCTCGTGCTAGCTCATCCTCGGAAGCGGCGGCCGCAGCGGCGTGCGCCTGCGTGCACTGCCAGCCTGCGTCGTCGAGGTCTCCAAGGTCGTCGTCGAGGTCGTCGAGGTCGTCGTGGTCGTCGTGGTCGTCGTCGTCGCCGTCGAGGTCATCCTCGTGGTCGTCGTCGAGGTCGTCGTCGTCGAGGTCGTCGTCGTCGAGGTCGTCGTCGTCGAGGTCGTCGTCGTCGTCGTCGTCGTCGTCGTCGTCGTCGTCGAGGTTGTCGTCGTCGTCGTCGTCGTCGTCGTCGTCGAGGTCGTCGTCGGCCTCGTCGGCGTATTCGTCGAGGTCGTCGACGGCGTCGTCTTCGGCGGCGGCGGCCGCGGCGAGCGGCGTGCGCCTGCGAGCACCGCTCGCCGTGCCAGCCCGGATGGCAGGTGCACCGGCCATCCTCGCGGGCGGAGCGGCGCGGCGGTGCGCCCTCCCGCCCGCCGCCCCCCCCCAAAAGGGTCTCCGGCCAGCGCCGCCCACGACGACGGCGTCGGCGACGATGGCGGCGCCGCCCACGACGACGAAGACGGCGACGATGCCGTCGCCGCCGCCCACGACGACGATGTCGACGATGACGGCGACGCCGCCGCCGCCCCCATGGTCGCCATCTGCCTCCTCTCCCTTCTCCCTCTTCCCGTACGGGGCGCCTCCGCGCGGACCTCCGAAATTAGAATGCCTATGCCATGGCATGCCCCTCGAGATCCAGGGGACCCTGAGGGAACTTGACAATGTCCTGGAGTGCTCCCAAGGGTGGGCAAGGGGGTTCGAGCGTTCGCTAACGGAGGGAACACTAACGGGGGGTGAAGAAACGCGCGTCTTTCCGCACCCTGACCTCTGGGGGCCGCCGGTGGCAGCTCTCAGAGGCTGTCCGGGGCCCCTTCAGGGCCACCTCCTTGCAATCCTCGACCCACCCCCTCCGCTCAGTTTTCCCCCCGATGCCCGAGAGCCCAAGGGGTTTGGGCAAGGGGTGGAGGGCGGGTGGGGACATCGGCGGCCCCCCCCCCCTCCGAGCGAGGAAAGGTGTGCGAAGAAGGGGGGCAGCCGGACGTCTCGGCCAGCCTGCTGCTCCAAAGGGGGGCGGGAAGAATTTTGGATCAGTTGGCAAGTCTGGTCGGACGGAAGGGGAGGTCGTAGATGGGGAGGGCCTGCGAATCAGCTCGCGTTAGGCGCTGGAGGCGCCAGTGCATCGAGGACGGTGCCCAGGGGCCGAAACCAGCTGCGCGCGGCAGACTCAGTAACCCCACTTTTTCAAACTCCCCCCACCCCCTGGGCCCGGGAGCGGTGCAGATGCACCCCTGGCCAAGCCAGGAGGGCGCACTCAATTCGCCGCTCCTCGGCGCAGGCCGGGCAGGCCCCGGCAGTGGACATGCACATGCACAGATCCCGTCGCCCCCACAATGTGCGACAGCTTGGATCGACGCTTCAAGGCTGGTGGGTCCACGCCGCCTGCAGTACGAGCAGGGCCCAAGGCGCGGCCCGCTCGGAAGAGGCTCTAATTCTGTACAGGGCTGAACCTAAAAGGTGTTTTTCGTTTTCGTTTTGTTTCATCCACCTGTACGGCAAAACGAAGTCGAAACGAAAACAGCCCACGAAATCGCCAAAACACCGCTTAGGGCCAGCCCTGGTTTTGTATGCGCCGCGTGCTGCCCGAGCCAGATTCTGGCGCGCCCCGTGAGCGACGGTGAGGCCAGCAGACGACTTTTTTTTCGTCGGCGGCGAGGCAGGGGCAGTCCGCACCGGCGTCGGGCTGGCCACCGATAGTCGGAGTGGCCGGCGCGCAGAGAGGAGGGAGCGAGGAAGAGGGTGGCCGCGCGAGGGGAGGCGGGGGGAGCGCTCAAGACCAGCAGAAAGCACACCTCGGGCTCACGCGGGCATGGCGTACACACGGATTGGGGGAAGCACCCCGATCCGGCGACGGAGCGGCCCGATCCGGCGACGGAGCGCGCCGAGGTTGTGCGGAACAGGGGCCCGTCGCCGGCTTAGGCGCCTTGATCCACCTCTGCGTTTCCTCGAACATCGGCATATCGTGTGCACACGTACGTGCTGTCTCGTAAGGAAAGCTTGGCCTCCCAACTCCTTACCTCGAGAAGAAAAGTCAATGAACATCAAGCGCTAAGAGGCACCGCCACGAAGGGGGTCTAACGCAGACCCAAGAACTCTGCGCGGACCTCCGAAAGTGTACGTGCAGATGCTCGTTCGAGAAGGGGAGATGCGCTCGCTGCTGGCTTGTCCACCGTGACGTGTTTGAAGGAGCGTACCCTTGAGGGAGAACGACAAGGAGAGTCTGGCTCAGGGAGGGACCCTCGACCCGGAATCGGCGATCCGTTGCGGATAGCTCGGCGATAGGCCCCCGACAGCGAAACCGCACGCTCCCAGGCGGGGCGGGCTGTCGGGACCCTATCGGCGATCTGTCTGGGCGATTCGGGGCCGATGAGTCCCCAACCGAGCCCGTCCCCCCCCCCTTACGCTGCCCCTGCAGGACGCGTGTTGAAGCGTGTCCTCCTCCACGCCGCGCCGCCGCCGCCCTTCGGATGCAGTCTGCTCGTGCGCGTGCCGCCTGGGCTTTGCACCAGCTCTGGCAGGACTCTTGAAACCGCAGAGGGGCCACAGTCCCGAGCACGAGTGGGGCAAGGCAGCCGTCGGGACTTTCTAGAGGATGCGAGGTCCACACTGGCGCCGTCGGAGGACTGACAGATCGGGAAATGTCGTCCTTCGGCGGGCCCCTCCGATGCAAATCACGACAACTGCAAACTCTCCACGACCAGACAGTGTCGTACCAGCTCACAACAAGCTTCGCACAATTCAACACCACCGAGCTAATGGTATCTAAGATCAGCCAGACAGAGCTTTAGCTTGCTGCCATCCCAAACAACGACCAATCCGAACCACAACGGATGCGAGACCACCGTCAAGACTTCTTCGACGATGCGAAGTCCACAGCGTCAATCGGAGGATTGACAGATTGGAAATTGTCATTCTTCGGCGCGTCTTCCCGGTGCGCTGCTACAACATGTGTGACTGAATGAAACTCTCTGCGATGCCATGCGTTTCCCCATAAGCCTGCCGCAATAAAACAAGCAAGCTCCGCACATGTCAAGAAATGCAGTGACGATGAATTCGATAACTGCCCGCACGAACTCGCAAGACACCTGCACACACATCTATACGACCACGATTCGGATGATGAGGAGGTTGTGGGGGAGAGGGTGAGTTCAACTTTGGGTGTGCGATTGGGGTCGGATCGGACTCGGCGGAAACCAGTTGGGCACCACGGAGCACCTGTTTGGACATCGATCTATCGACCTCACACTTAATCAACCTATCGATCTCACTATCGATCGTCATCTATCTATCGATCTCACTATCTGTCGATCCCGCAATCGACCTCACAATCGATTTGTCTATGGGCCTCAATATCACTCTCACTATCGACCTCACGGGACACCAAAGGACATCGCGCCACGGGATCCCGCGGGACACCGCGCCATGGGACACCACGGGACCCCACGGGACCCCACGGGACACTGGCGGGACAACCCCAAGCCACCGCTGGCCAATCTGGGGGCGTAGGGTCATTGAGCTCAGTTTCGCCCTAGCCACGGCGGGTTCAGTCTTCTCGCCCGCCCACGCAGCTTCGCCTCGCCCGCACGCACGACACGAATACGAAACAGAAACCAATTGTTTGGTATGGGGGTCTTCGTTTCACTTCGAGCTCACCCTCCAACCTCCGAGATATGTATAAATATGTATGTATGTTTGTATGTATTCGCACACCTAAAAACAACTTAGCTTTTCGACTTCCCTAACCACAACGAATGAGAGACAACCGGCAGGACTTCACCGAGGATGCGAAATCCGCAATGCTACTGAGGGAGGAATGACGGACCGGAAATTGTCATCCTTCCGGGCGTCTCTCTGCTGCTCTGCAAGAGGATGTGTGAAGTATTCATGCCATCTGCAAACTTCGCGCCTGATCCAAATAATCATATCAACAAAACACGGCTACGGCTACGGATGCGGCTACGCGCGGGCGGGGCCATGCAGGCGCGGCGGAGGGGGCGCCGAGGCGCCTGTTGGAGCGTGAATGAAATTTTAAGAATTGCAGTGACAATGAAATTTAGCTTGGCGACGCCCCCTCCATCAACCAAACTAATTATCCCAACCACAACAGATGAGAGACCGCCGCAAGGATGCGAAATCCATTCCATAAATTTCGGAGGGTGTCATCCTTCAACGCGTCTCCGTGGTGCGCTACCGGAAGGCATGCAAATCAATCCAGCAGCGCAGATCTTCGTACCCCTGGGTATCTCTCCGCCAAATCGACTTCAGTTTCAGAATGTGCAACAAGCGTGTCCATGCCTTTTAGGATCTGCCTGCGCAAACTCGAACCACAACAAGAACGAGAAATGCGTTCACACTTGCACCCGGATTTGAGCCCTGCATCCCCTACGACAAGCAACCCGAAACACAACGGATAAGAGACCAACATCAAGACTTCTTAAAGGATACGAAATCCACACTGCTAGTCGGAGGATTGACAGATCAAACATTGTCATCATCCAGCGCGCCTCTCTAATTTACTGCTAGGGGAATTTGTTACCGACGACAGTTGCACGGATTTGCGCACGCTCCTGGCCTTCGCACCATTCCAGAACTCTGTTAACACATTTCAGTACTCTTAGCGGCGATGCTGTGCATGATCTGTTGATACGAGATCGCAGACAAAGAAAACAAGGCGGACTGACATATACTATATGCTAGACAGCGTGGAACCCAAACGCTGAGTTATTGCACTGCGGAAGTGGCAACTATGCGGTGTACACTGTGTGGTGTAAACTAAGTCGTGTAAGCTACGTGATGTGAGATATGGGATTGCGCACCTTGCGGAATAAGCTGTATACTGTTATCTATGTCGTGCAAGCTATGCTGTGTGACCTGGAGGTGAAAGCTATGCGGCCTACGCTATGTGGTGGTGGCTTCCAAGCCCCCAAGAGGGGCCCAGGAGGCCCCCGACACGGCCCCAAGAGGGACAGTGGCTCAAGGGGGAACGCGAGCTGACATTTGGAGCCCTGAGCACCAAGATGGCCTCCGAGACCGCCAGGAAGTCCCCAAGCGGCCCCAAGGTGCCCCCAAGAGGCGCTCAAGATGCCTCCAGGAGACCACCAAGAGGCCTCCAAAAGGACCCCACGAGGCATACCCAGACAATCAATCAAACATCTGATAAACTGAACACCATCGACGACCCAAGAGACCTGCGCAACCCAGGCACGGTAGCGGGTTGGGCCGAAGGTTATATACAAGACCTGCTCGGCCAGGGGAAGGAACGCGCGCGTATTTCGTGAGGGCGCGCGATCGCTTGCTTAGGGTTTTGGAGCCCTGCTGGTGTTAGTACCTTGGCAC